GGCGTACCAACCACAACCTGTACATCACCGTTGTGACCTAATGAACACACGTTTAAAGTTTCATTGAGCTGAGTTTATCAGTTTAAAAGCTTTTTTAGGCGCGCTGTGCATTTGTATAACATGGAGACCGGCCGCACGACCGACCGGAAAAGTGTCCGAGACCTGGACGACAGTCAACATGAACAACATCTGCATTCTGCACGTTGGGACGAATTTCCATAGCACGTTTTCCACGCATAATTTTGTCTAATCGAAACCAGACAGGACCAAATAAAAAAAATAGATATTTATTGACACTACTCTGATGATAGCATGGGCGGAATTTTTTCTAGAATAGAATAGAAGTGTCGGCACTGAAGAAATAGGCCCATGGCCTGTAGCTGATTCTTGTACTTTTCGTGACTTGATTCACAAGGGATCCGGCATTTTGAACCCGATCTCTCCATAACTGACGATTGATTGAGATAGCTAAGGTGCTAGGCATTTCACGACTGAACATATGCTCCTTCATAGCTTCGTCTGGTCTGTTCTTGAAGGCGTTCATACTCGGAGCGTCAACGATGCTATCAGAGAGGCTTTTCCACATGTCGGTGACTCGAAACGAGAAGAATGGTCGCATGGATGTGTTACAACGCACTTTTTTAGTTTATAGCCGTGGCGTCTGGTGTTTGTTCTTGTTTTAAATTCCAGTAATCCTTTTAAATTTTTGTCCTTTTCTAGTTTTGGAGACCACACAGCGTTTCCAAACTCTAGCTAGGTTTGGGCGCACAGCAGCGAAAAACGACAGTTTCATCGCTTCAGCATCTACGTACCTACTCAGAGGAGCGTCTGATCAGTCCAAGTCGTTTGTTGGCTTTATTAACTTGAGCTTCAATGTGCTTAGAAAATTTCAATTCATTGTCGACATCTTTTGTTTTAAATTTTAGTTAACTTGCGACAAATAAGTGACATCAATTCTTCATTATTCTTACCAAGTTGTATTATTTCTCATTCGTCAGCGTTAAAAGGCAGCTAACACTTATCAGCCCAGTCAACAAAATCACCTTGCAACCGTTCTTTTTGCGACGCATTATTCACTGTATTATAAACTTTTGTATCGTCAGCATACATCAAGCTCACGCTAAACAAAGCTTCTGGCAGATTGTTTATAAGCTCAACGAATAAAACAGGCCCGAGAACACTTCCTTGTTGCACGCCGCTGCGAACTAAAGTCTGATATATGGTTCTGTTAATACTGACTTATTGTCGTCTCTGTACAAGGAAATCTCTGATCCATTCGAGTACATTACTCTCAATTACCAAAGACTTTAATTTACGCAACAGTCGCTCATGTGGGACATTGTCAAATGCCTTGCAAAATTGAGGTACACTGCATCTACTGGCTCCCTTTCGTCCAGTAGAGTAGACGGGTCCATTCATTCAGAGAAGACAAGAGGTTAGTAGTGCAAGATCTACCGGCCATGAAGCCATGTTGATAATCTGATAGGAGATTATTAGCAGTCAAATGGTCGATTTCTACCGGCCATGAAGCCATGTTGATAATCTGATAGGAGATTATTAGCATTCAAATGGTCGATTAATCGATCCATCACAACAGATTCCTGCATTTTTTAAATAAGACCTGGATTTTTTAAATAATTATATAATTTATAAATATTTTATATGCGATTTGATTTGACGGTGCATAATTTAGATCATGAAGCACCTGAGTTAACAAATAGAATCTCATATAGATGCAAACATACTCGAAATAATTTGTTACATGTAATTTAAATATTGAAAATACTGTATCAAAAGCTTCCTCTATTCAAATAAAATTATTAATTAAGAATCTATCTCAAAATGAAATTCGTTTGCTGGCTCTCTCATGAAGACGTTGTGCAGTGCTCACAAACAAGGGATAGACTATAACTTCCCGGGTCGGCAAATGCAGTGCTGAGTGTGCAATGACACGTATCCGACAGTACGACTCCGAGAGTAAATAGCAATAAGTAGGTGGCAAGCCTGGCAAGGGCCAAGGCGCTAGATGTGTGCTTGATATTGTATGTTCAAAAGCCAAATAAAATTTTCCTGTTGGTGACCTAAATGATAAATTTGCTCATTTCTTACTTTTAAGTCAGGCAAAATATATAGGCTACATCGTTTTTTCATGGTATGGACATGGTCAAGAGCTGCCAGCAGGCTAGGCTGCTAGCAGCTGATCTGCTGCTGATGCTGACCAGCCTGACTGCTTAGTACTTAGTAGGGTACTCTTACTGCTTCAATAGTTTAATTGCAGGTGTGCTTGAACTGTTTGACATGATCAAGGTGAAAGCTGAAACTCAGCCTGAAAGGCAAATGGTTGTGCAAAGAAAATAACACAAAGAACCTCTACAATCTTTAAATTGAACTTTGAGCTAAGGTCATGCCCAAGTGGAAATTTCACTTCACTGATTTTGTAGTATAACTAGTCACAAGCCATGCAAACAGTAGTAATTAAAAGGCAACCATACACTGATCACTTTGTAGATTTAAGTTTGAGAAATTGAGTGTGAAGTTGCCCAGTAGTATTTTAGCTTGCAGCACGTGAGACGGTGAGCTGACATGGTGATGGTGGACTGGTGACTGGTGAGAATAGCCTGACTGGCTGACAGACTGACAGTCAGCTACTCAGCTGGTCATTCACGCATTTGTTGCATTCACATTACCCATGTAAGATTTGTTTCTTAAATTCTATGAGACTATGACAAGCATGAACAATGAACATCGTGCCTCAGATATTCTTTTAGGTTTAGCTGCTGCAGTTTATGCATCTAGCAATAACTAGCATACCTAGTGGCTTGATCAGGCATGTAATAGGTATATCTAGGTACTTTTCAAGCCGCGACTAGATTTTTCAAGCCGCGACTAGATTTTTCAAGCCTTGAGGCCCGTGACTCATAGTGGCAAAGCAGAGAGTTTTTTAGACTCTCCCTCAAGATCAGTTTTGAGTCCTATAAGTAGACCAGTAAAGTATCCTGGATACCAGCATCATCATACATAAGAAATTGGTTTAAATCTTGGGTAAATGAGGAATTAAAAATGAACCGATTCCAAAAAATCTCTGGTTTGTCACTATGCCATGACTTCATGGGTTTGCCAGCCATGATTCCATTTCATTGAGCCATGAATTCCATATCATGGCCATGAAAAGCCATTTATGATCCACAAACTCGTTATTCAAAAAGTCCTGTCACTCCCATCATCCCATGCATATAAAGACCCATGTTATTTAGAAAGTCCCATAAAAAGTCACTACTCACTAGCATTTGTCTTCATTTAAGTGGCAACTGTACAAGTGACATAGTGGCAAACCCGAGCTTTTTTAGAATCAGTTCATTTTTAATTTCTTCATTTACTCAAGATTTCAGCCAATTTCTTAAGTATGATAAAGCTGGTATCCATGATACTTTACTGGTCCTCTTATAGGACTCGTAAATGAACTTGAGGGAGAGTCTAAATTATTCTGAAAAAAACTCTCTGCTTTGCCACTATGACAAGTGATAATGCAGTAATCAGCAGTATGACCATTCTGACGTAAGTGCTGCAGTGCAACTGTGCAACTACGCAATCTTCATGGCCGAAATTTTTTTAGTTGACTTGTTATTATGTTCTGCATGTTATTTTGGCAATTGGCGGGAGCATTGAACTGATTGAAGCATATATACTGTGGAAGTGTGGATTGCGGAAGTTGAAAATTGTATTAAACGATATATTTGCAAAGTGCAAACTGCAATTTTATCAATCAAACAAAATTTATGATAATAGTGCCAAGAGATTTCATACCTACTGAAATTATATGATCTTAGAGCAACAATATTTCATTAAAAATAAGACTTTTCCAGCCCTGGGGGCATTTAGCTGACGCTAGTCAGTAGTCACTCATTCCTACCCACTTGGAAATTTCTGTGGATTTTGTTCCCTGGATCGCACGACGGAGTTCAGTAAGAATTTAATTATTATTTAGCCTGCCTAATTAGTGCCAATTTTTAGCAGCCTTAACATCCTGCGGTCTGCAGAGTTTATTAACAGATGTACTAGTTTGGCTAATATCCCATTTTTTTTCCAGCTGTGAGGTCATGTTGGCTGACTGGTATGGTGGAATTCCAGGAAGATGTTGGTCATTTAGCTTCAACAGGACAACCAGAGTGCTCCAAACTTGAGGGCAGGGGGAGGGGGGTGGGTGGTTTTGCAATTTGAGGGCCTTCCTCAATTACATAGATACATGATAATTTAAAATGCATTTAGAATGCCCCCATGCTGACTGGCATACTTGCAAAGCAGAGATTTTTTTAATCATTTTATTATTATTCCCTCATTTACTCAGGATTTAAACCAATATCTTATGTATGATAATGCTGGTATCCATGATACTGTATTGGTCTACATATGGGGTTCAAAAATTAACTTGAGGACACTCCAGCATAGGAGGGTGAGACCGTGTAGGATTTCCCCATTTAAACCCCACCATTTCCCCTACCATTTTCCATGGTAGAACTGTGGCTGTTTAATGCCTTGCCAAAATTGCAGAAAGGAGGGAAGTTCACCCTTGCAACATTTAATAGACGACTGGGCAATTGGTTTAGAAAGATCCCGGATCATTCAGTTGTGGGAAACCACCATCAGCAAGCAACAAGCAACAGCATCTTGCATCAGCCGGCCCAAAAGAGGGCAAATAAATGGAACACGTCCAACGTTACATCTGGGACCCGAGGGGGGGGGGTGGTGACCTGCCTAGTGACAAGTTAGAGAGGGAGGAGAACAAAGGCGGCACATCAGCATGACGGGACTAAGAAGTCCCAAACTCATCATAAGGTCAAAAGGACTTGTCAAAGAGTGTGCAGCACTTGTCAAAGAGTGTGCAGCACTTGTCAAGGAGTGTGCAGCATTAATCCAACTTTACTGAGCTACCATTTATTAGATTGTATGCTGCATAGATTGCCAAAATGGCAAACCAACTCTTTATTTTTTTATTTTTTAGGTCAAGTTTGTAGTATTATGTGATAATATAGCAATAGGGTTTATTATAGGCATCTTGTTACCAATTTTATTATTTATACCTTACCAATTTATCTTTAGAATTGTCTTGTTACCAATTTATACAATTCTAAATTTATTGAAATAATTATTTTATCTATTGTATTACAGTTAGCATGTTATTGCCTTTATTAACAATTTGTATAGCCAGCTCAGTCTTGGCTGTTGACAGAAACAACTTCAAAACATGTCAACAAAGCAGCTTTTGCAGGTGAGATGAGTACCTATATATTAAAATATTATTACCACTTAATCTTATCTGTGCATAGAATTAAGGTTTTTATACCCCAATTTTGAAATTAACTATTGAAATTATACCTATCTCAGATTTCCTATTATACCTACTATATTATACCTATCTCAGATTTCCTATTATACCTACTATATTATACCTATCTCAGATTTACCAAATGGTTATTATGAAGACAGATTTTTCAAAATTCCTAATAACCATTTGTATGACTTAGTTACATAAATTTGACCTGTTATTAAGTTTTGACCCGATGTGTCTTGTTATTGGAAATACCAGGATCTCATGTTGACACCAATTGTAAATTGATTAACCTAGGCCAATGCTGCCTTACATCTCATAATAAAAACATTATTGCATTGCAATGATATTGTATAATAAATATTACTAAAGGAAATCTAGATGCAAGTTTTGGAGCTTTTAACACGTTGACTACGATTGCTTCATCTTGTACTATTATTTCATTTTTGTACTGTTTTTAAACAGGGTTGCCAGACGGTCATTTTTTCCGGACAAATTCCGTGATTTAGTTTTTCTCAATTGCGTTGGCCGGCTACAATTTAAGATAGGGGTACTTCCTAATTAAATTTTAAACAATGCAAAAAGAAAATAAATAAAATTTTTATAGCGGAACCTACAAATAAACTAGTATTCATTGAATTATCGGCCTTTTTTTGGCCTTTTTTGTTCTCGGATTTGGCCGATTTTAGGCAACCTGAATTATGTATCACTACCTCCTGGAGAAATACATTTCGTGGTACACATATGTACCAATACGTAGTCAACGTGTTAAATATGCATTTCAGAACAGAATTCAGATGCCAAGGGCTAAACCTGCTCAATGCAAGATAAAAAAAATTTGTAGTTATTCAGTTGGCTGAAAGCACTTCATGTTCAAAATAACCTTCAAATTTTGTCATGTTTGCCATAATCATACCAGTTCTTTCTAGCATTTATTGCTTTGTGATGCAAAAAATATCAGGTCTTTACTGGTTTTAATGCTATTCATTCAAAATGCTTGTTAACACGTTGACTACAAAGTGGTACATATGCGTACCACGAAATGTATTTCTCCAGGACGTAGTGGTACTGGGTACATAATTCAGGTTGCCTTAAATCGGCCAAATCCGAGAACAAAAAAGGCCAAAAAAGGCCGATAACCCAATATATACTAGTTTATTTGTAGCTTCTGCTATAAAAATTCCATTTATTTTCTTTTTCCAGTACTTAAAATTTAATTAAGAAGTACCCCCATCATTAATTTTAGCCAGCCAACGCAATTGAGAAAAACTAAATCATGGAATTTGTCCGGAAAAAATAACCGTCTGGCAACCCTGCTTAAAAACAGGTACAAAAAATGAAATAATAGTACAAGATGAAGCAATCGTAGTCAACGTGTTAATGATGAGTTTGATGTTAGAGATACTGTGTAGCTTGTTTATTCTTCAGGTTTTGATTAAGATTCTTCTATATCTTTGGCTCTAAACCCTCAAATTCCTTTATTTTATATGTCAATTGATTAAATGCATTGGTCTTTGATACAATATTTCAATCTAACATTTGATGTATTATGCTTTTTGTTAAAATTTATCAGTGTAACATTTGTATGGTTATACTGTCCTATGCATTACAACTTCTCATTTATCAGTGTAACATTTGTGTGGTTATACTGTCGTATGCATTACACTGTATAGTTATACTGTCCTATGCATTATCAACTTCTTGAACTAAATAAACTATTTCAGGCGTCAGCGAGCTGTGGTGCCCCACAACAGTCCCTACTCTGCCCTGCTGGAGACGCTCTCTCACTCGCCTCAGGCTGGTGTCAGTGTGGACGTACGCAATGACCTCAACAGTGTTTTGTTCACACTGCAGCTTGTGCCCCTCAAGGACAATGTGTTCCGCTTCATCATGGATGAAAAATCACCACTTCATCCTCGCTTCAAAGAACCATATGCAGTCATTGAAGACAACCTCAAAATAGACAAGTCTGTAGTATTTAGCATATACAAATTTGATACTTAACTTCACATGTATACAATAACCCTGAGTAACTCTAGATAAAATAATTTTGTTTATGTTTTATAAATAGGAATTGGGTGCGTGCTGACCACCAGTTATGACCTTTAAATTGGTCATTCATGCTTCATGAAAGCTCTTTTACTAGCATAAAAAAAAGTTTGTGTCATAGCCAAAAGTAACCAAAAATTGCAATTAATACATATTCATAACAATCCTAAGACTAAAACATTCCCTTATGCATGCCAATATAGCAAATAAATATTTTGAAGGAATAATAAATTTCCCATAATTGTTTTTTCTCATTTTCCATGTACACTTTAGAATGCATTAACTGTAAGAATTCTTTTTGTGAATATCTTTAATTAAATTCTACAAGAACAAAAATAAATGGATTATTTGTGTTACAGCTTTGAGGTAACATCAAGTGGAGACATTTTTACCGTCAAGTTTGGCAAGATGCACGCTGAGGTCCACGCTAAGCCCCTGCTGGTGAACGTCTTCCGTGACCAGAAGCTCGTCGTGGCCCTCAATGCTCGAGGCCTCCTCAAGTTTGAGCAATACAGAAAGAAACCTCACGAAATCCATGAGTGAGCATTCGATATTTCTTTGTAGAAAAATTGGAAATTCTAAATTTTTTCATTCGATATTTCTTTGCAGAAAAATTGGAAATTCTAAATTTTTTCATTCGATATTTCTTTGCAGAAAATTTTTCTTGCTAAAACTTCAATTGCAGGTATGAGAATCAATGTTTTTCTTGCTAAAACTTCAATTGCAGGTATGAGAATCAATGTTTTTCTTGCTAAAACTTCAATTGCAGGCATGAGAATCAATATTTTTTTGCTAAAACTTCAATTACAGGTATCAGAATGATATTTCAATAGTTCTTGGTAAAAACTCCTAAAAGAATTCTACAGGATATATTATGTTTTTTTGCCTGATTGCAAGAGGGGAGGCTGTGATGGAGGGAGCGGCCGCTGGGGAGGAGGAACCAAGCCACGCAGAACAGGAACTGAATGAAGCTCTTCAGCCTCCTGCTGGTGAAGACCCTCTGGACGAGCCTGACAAAGATGGTCTATGGGAAGAGACCTTCAAAGGCCACACAGACTCAAAGCCTCGTGGCCCGTCCTCCGTCGGCATGGACGTGTCCTTCATGGGGGCCTCTCACGTCTACGGTATCCCTGAACATGCAGATTCTCTGCCACTCAAAAACACCGCGTGCGTATTTTTCTTTACCAACGACTGAAATATTTGACACTTGAGATACAATAGGATAATAAAAAAGTATATTTCTTTCTGTTTGTTGAATAATTTCGTAGTGAGCAATAAATTTTTTGCTTGAAATTTAACTTTCTAGTTAAAATTTATGGCAATGTAAAACCTCTGCCCAAGAACGGCCTGACGTCCTTGGGTTAATGTTATAATATCTCTGCTAATTAAAAATTTACAGCCTATCATGCCATGCATAATAGCCCATCATGCCATGCATAATAGCCCATCATGCCATGCATAATAGCCTGTCATGCCATGCATAATAGCCTATCATGCCNTGACGTGTTCGAGGGTTTTTGTTGTCACTCTAACGAAGTTTTCTGTACGTATCCCTCCAGTTCTGGTGACCCATACCGCCTGTACAATCTTGACGTGTTCGAGGGTTTTTGTTGTCACTCTAACGAAGTTTTCTGTACGTATCCCTCCAGTTCTGGTGACCCATACCGCCTGTACAATCTTGACGTGTTCGAGGGTTTTTGTTGTCACTCTAACGAAGTTTTCTGTACGTATCCCTCCAGTTCTGGTGACCCATACCGCCTGTACAATCTTGACGTGTTCGAGGGTTTTTGTTGTCACTCTAACGAAGTTTTCTGTACGTATCCCTCCAGTTCTGGTGACCCATACCGCCTGTACAATCTTGACGTGTTCGAGGGTTTTTGTTGTCACTCTAACGAAGTTTTCTGTACGTATCCCTCCAGTTCTGGTGACCCATACCGCCTGTACAATCTTGACGTGTTCGAGGGTTTTTGTTGTCACTCTAACGAAGTTTTCTGTACGTATCCCTCCAGTTCTGGTGACCCATACCGCCTGTACAATCTTGACGTGTTCGAGGGTTTTTGTTGTCACTCTAACGAAGTTTTCTGTACGTATCCCTCCAGTTCTGGTGACCCATACCGCCTGTACAATCTTGACGTGTTCGAGGGTTTTTGTTGTCACTCTAACGAAGTTTTCTGTACGTATCCCTCCAGTTCTGGTGACCCATACCGCCTGTACAATCTTGACGTGTTCGAGGGTTTTTGTTGTCACTCTAACGAAGTTTTCTGTACGTATCCCTCCAGTTCTGGTGACCCATACCGCCTGTACAATCTTGACGTGTTCGAGGGTTTTTGTTGTCACTCTAACGAAGTTTTCTGTACGTATCCCTCCAGTTCTGGTGACCCATACCGCCTGTACAATCTTGACGTGTTCGAGGGTTTTTGTTGTCACTCTAACGAAGTTTTCTGTACGTATCCCTCCAGTTCTGGTGACCCATACCGCCTGTACAATCTTGACGTGTTCGAGGGTTTTTGTTGTCACTCTAACGAAGTTTTCTGTACGTATCCCTCCAGTTCTGGTGACCCATACCGCCTGTACAATCTTGACGTGTTCGAGGGTTTTTGTTGTCACTCTAACGAAGTTTTCTGTACGTATCCCTCCAGTTCTGGTGACCCATACCGCCTGTACAATCTTGACGTGTTCGAGTACGAGATCGGTAACCCCATGGCGCTGTACGCCAGCATCCCTGTCATGCTGGCGCACTCCCTGGACGGCACAGCCGCTGTCTTCTGGCATAACGCTGCTGAAACTTGGATTGATATTAAGGTGTCGTGTAGTCACTGTGATACATCCTCTCATTTCATTGTGGACTTGTTTGCAGGAGCTTTATCTTTTAAGGTTGAATGTTAAACTGCGAACAGTTTAAGCTTTATCTTTTTATGTTGAATATTAAGCTACAAACAATCTAACTTTGGAGCTAGTAGCGAGACGTATGTAGTCTTCACAAGTTATTTAGTTCACTTAAAATTTATTTCCTAGAAACACGGCAATAATACATTAATTACAGTACAGTGTTGCAGTACAGTAATAATACAATAAAGTAATACAGTAGTAAATTTGAATGAATATCCTGGGTATATTTTATGGAGTGCACTTCATAAACACTTCACTATTCTTATTCTTCATTGCTTTTCGGCATAGGTGAATTAGATTTCCGCATTGTTGTAGAAGTGTTGTATTAACTAGCTAGTGTTGTATTAACTAGCTAGTGTTGTATTAACTAGCTAGTGCTGTATTAACTAGCTATGTGCACTGCGCAGCACTTGCCAGACACTAACGTAGTGTCGTCCATCACGGGCTTCTTCTCTGGGGGCGGGGGAGGCCCCGACGCGACACAGCAGGTGTCCACGCACTGGATGTCTGAGTCCGGCGTCCTGGACGTCTTCGTGATGGCCGGGCCTGCGCCCCTAGACGTCTTCAGGCAGTACGGCACCATCACCGGCACCACCAACCTACCCCCGGTTAGTTCTTTGTCTTCTTACAATTAATATAGTGTATTTTGTGGCCCCCGGTTAGTTCTGTGTCTTCGTGCAAATGAATACAGTGTATTTGTGGCACCAATCTACCTCCGGTTAGTTCTTTGTCTTCTTACAGTTAATTATAGTGTATTTGTGGCACCAACCTACCTCCGGTTAGTTCTTTGTCTTCATACAATAATTACAGTGTATTTGTGGCACCAACCTACCTCCAGTTAGCTCTTTGTCTTTTTACAATTAATACAGTTTTTTGTGGCACCCGGTTAGGTCTTTGTCTTCATGCAAATGAATATAGTGTATTTTGTGGTCGTGGAATTATAATGGATTCTTTGTGTTGTTTGTTGGTCTTGTTCAAAGTATTTTTGACTGCGCTCTAAATTATTAGAGGTATTAATTGTGATACTTTTTATTCTCTATATTAATGATGCACTGTTAGAAAAAACGGTGAAAAAACGGTCCCACTGGCGTTCTAGTGGCCGGTCGCCCCGTAAAAATAAACTGTTTCACCGTTTATATCAGATGTTTTCCGGATTTCTAGTGTTAAATTAGAGTAAAAACGGCGAAACGGTGTTTTTTTCACGTGCCGACCGGCCACTGAAACGCCGGTATTATACCGTTAATGGTAATTTTTCTAACAGTGTGATTGTACTTACTACTGCATAGCGTTTTTTTCATAAGGTTTTCAATACCGGTTTTTCAATTGCGGGTTGTGTTATATGTGTTATATTGAAACATTAATAGTCTGTGTCTGAGTAACGTCATCCCAGTCATAGTCCCCATGATTGCCATATTGCAGTTGACCTTTTATCAATAACTGCCTTAATAAAATGTGTAATAATGTAAAATAAATAAATAAAAATAAAATGTAAAATAATGTGGACATTTTCTAGAATTTAGAAATTTTCGATTTTTCCGCTGTAGACACAGGAAATCGACAACGAAATACTTTATTACTATATTATATATGGTATATGTTACAGGAATATAATGTATTTTATTAATACGTAAACTTTGAAAGTGTTCAACACTTATTTGGTTGGCGTTACTCTGAATACTAAACTTTGAAAGTGTTCAACATTATTTGGTTGGCGTTACTCTGAATACTAAACTTTAAAAGTGTTCAACATTGTTTGGTTGGCGTTACTCTGAATACTAAACTTTAAAAGTGTTCAACATTATTTGGTTGGCGTTACTCTGAATACTAAACTTTGAAAGTGTTCAACACTTATTTGGTTAGCGTTACCCTGAATACCCTACGTGTGTTTACAGCTGTTCTCGCTAGCGTACCATCAGTGCCGCTGGAACTACAACGATCAAGAGGACGTTGAACAAGTGCATGCAAACTTCGACAAGTATGATGTGCCCATGGATGTTATGTGGCTAGACATCGAGCACACGGATGGCAAGCGGTTCGTTCTCATATACAGGAAATGTAGAGCTTTTTTCTTTCATTTTCAAGTAGAAAATGTCTGACTTCTGTTTTGCTTTGAACAACTCTCCAATGACAGGAAATGTAGAACTTTTTTCTTTCACGCTTTCAAGTAGAAAATGTCCGACTTCTGTTTCGGTTAGGAGAAGTCTCCAATGATGAAAGAATTTGTCTTGTTTTCTAAAACTGCCCACAGTTCATCCAATAATAATAATTTTTTAACTAAAATTCTCTTAATATGATCAATTTAAAATAGTTTTGCTTTGCAGCACTTATGAACAACTCATTCTTATATATTTTGTCAACTTATATCGAATATTTGTCTTCATATCTGAGCGTCATTTTATGACTAATGAATTTTTTTCAATCGTAATCTAAGAGACTATGGACGCAATCACAATATTCCCATGCGAATCAAAATCATGCTTATACTTAATGAATTTTACTTATACCTACTTAAATCTTACTTATTTCCTAAAATTTGAGTGAACTATATCTGTAATAACTACAGCTTCAATTGTGCAGCTCTCGGCTGTTTGAGAGTGCGAGACTACACTTCAAATCATATTTATTGATAACAGATATTACATAAGAAGATATTATACAAATAATAAGCTTGCTATTACCACAGATACAACAGATATTACAAAAGAAGATATTATACAAATAATAAGCTTGCTATAACCACAGATACAACATATATTACAAAAGAAGAGATTATACAAATAATAAGCTTGCTATTACCACAGATACCTGACGTGGGACGAACACAAGTTCCCTGACCCCGTGAAGATGACGGACCAACTCTCTGCTAAAGGCCGCAAGTTGGTTACTATAGTCGACCCTCACATCAAGCGCGACACTAACTACTTCTTCTACAAGGAGAACCATGACCTCGACCACTTCATCAAGACTAAGGACGGCTCAGAATTTGATGGCAAGTTATTCTTGTTGTTTACTTTAATATAATATAGTCGACCCTCACATCAAGCGCGACACTAACTACTTCTTCTACAAGGAGAACCATGACCTCGACCACTTCATCAAAACTAAGGACGGCTCAGAATTTGATGGCAAGTTATTCTGGCTGTTTACTTTAACGCCTTCAGTGACTGATACTTGCCTGTGCCAAATATCCTGGGCCCAAACTTTCAAAACTAGCTAAGTGAACGTAAGTACTTACGATCTATTTTCTTGTCTATGATTGGTGGATTTTGCTCGAAAGACCGTCAATGATTGGCTGATGAACTTACGACGTCCTAACTTTTTTTGAAAGTATAGGCCCAGGTAATGAAATATTTGTAATTTGAAGTTCTCTGGGAATAGCTTGCACATTAGTGTTTTTAAAACATGTATTGGCATAGTGTTGAAGCAGCCAGTCGCTGTGGGTGTGAGCAAGTTACTAGATTTTCCAAACAGCCACACAGTAGAACAATCAATTTCTTCCCACATTTAGCGACCTTGTCATTATGAAAACACATTCGTCTTAATCGTTACAAACGTAATCGCTCTGAAATTTAAGGTCTAGAGGTCGAACTATTAAAATATTTGAGTTAGTAACTCGGTCAACCAATCACTGACAGGTTTTCAAGATGAATACAAATCACAGACAAGAAAATGACCGCTACGTGTACTTAAGCTGCTTTGTGTACTTGATCTGCTACATGTCGTTGTATTTGGGCCTCTACTTGTATTTTGGCCGGTTCGTTTTGATAACACCGCCAAAACGTAACGGTATTCTATTTAGCTGGTCTGCATTGATGTTTCTTACGGTGATGGTAATGCGCTCGTGGGGGGCAGCTCAGGTGGTGGAGAGCCACCACCTGAGATGGGCGATGGTGGAAATGGTGGCGATGGTAGATAAAGAGATGGGCAATGGTAGATGAAGAGATGGGCGATGGTAGAAATTGTGGCGATGGTAGATAAAGAGATGGGCGATGGTAGAAATTGTGGCGATGATAGATAAAGAGATGGGCGATGGTAGAAATTGTGGCGATGGTAGATAAAGAGATGGGCGATGGTAGAAATGTCGTGACGGGCCACCGCCACTATGGGTCTGTAACATAGGGAGGAGATGCTGGGGAAGGAAATGCCGTTGAAGAACTGTGGAGTGGACTGGAGTTGTCCTCAGCACTCAGGGCAGACGGGGCTTGGTGTGGGCGGTAGTTGGGATGAAGCTCCTGAACATGAGGTTATTGATGAATAGAAAGAACAGATGAGAAGAGGAAAAATACGAGTGACTTAACCAGCCGGCAGCCAAAGGAAAGAGTAGTGGGCCGACGGGGAGCTCAGTTTTCCAACCCTTGGTGAAGAAATGGAGGACCCTTCTGGCGCTCAAGAGCAATACTTTCAGAAAAAGTTAAGAGATCGAAAGTTCATCAGCCAATCGTTGACGGCCTTTCAAGCAAAATCCACCAATCCTAGACAAGAAAATAGAGCGTAAGTACTTACGTTCACTTAGCAAATTTTGAAATTATGGCCCCAGGGTGTTGGCGTTAAGAATTTTAACGTTTGGCCTGACCCGCGGAGTCAGGCCAAACCGACGCAACAGGCCTGAGTGCCACCATAAAGCAGAGGCAGCAAAGATCAGAGGCATGGGCTAACTTTAATGTTTCTCACGTCTGCTTTAATAACAGTAATAATTTTGAAATTGTTCACCCGGCTTTGCTTAAAGTCGCGTCAGATCAGTAGCAAAATAAATTGGTAAGACAGGTTAAGTAAGCGTAGCTGGTTAACCTCGTTCAGCAAGTCCTCTCTGAGTTCCTTGTCAACTGAATATTTTAATTGTGGTAACGCTTTAAGTCAAATTCACAGTAGCACAGTCTAATGCGCTACCTGTGAAAAAATTACAGCTGGTTTAAATGTGCACCTAATGGTATTATTTTAGTTGATGAATAGCTTTTAATGCAAGTTTGAGCAAGAAGTTTTGGTCCTGCATTTCTATTAGAGTATTAAGGTGCTGAGTTGGTGAACATTCTTTGTTGTTTATTCCAGCAAAAATTTAAAGTACCGTAGTGTTTGAGCTGAGAGGGTACCAAGCTAGGCAGGCTTCAAGCAGCGAGGAAGCAGGCATGATATATTTATTTTTTCAGACTTATATTTATATAAAATGAATGAAATCCAATGGCCGCTTATGGCAATGGCAGATTGAATCCTGCTTCAAACCTGCTGGTATGTCCAATCCTGCTCCAGACCTGGGGCCATACTTTCAAAAAAAGTTAAGAGATCGTAAGTTCATCAGCCAATCATTGACGGCCTTTCAAGCAAAGTCCACCAATCATAGACAAGAAAATAGAGCGTAAGTACTTACGTTCACTTAGCGAGTTTTGAAAGTATGGCCCCCGCTCTCTTGCTTCACTCGGCACAGACTCCTTCAAATTCTAACCGTGTTAAAGCTTTTATGGGCAAATTGGTTTAATTTACTAGTTCAGCAGTACAATATTTATTTATACTTACAGAACTTATGAACTTTTTGGGCAGTACCTACAATTATAAGGTTTCTTCCTGGATGTTCTGTAAGAGTGAATATCTTTGTGAATATACCATGCATTTATTAATGAAGACTATTTGATTACAAGAAATGGCATGCATATACTGGCTGGTTGTTGTAACAATAATGTCATGCATATACTGGCTGGTTGTTGTAACAATAATGTCATGCATATACTGGCTGGTTGTTGTAACAATAATGTCATGCATATACTGGCTGGTTGTTGTAACAATAATGTCA